AAATATTTAGGTGGCGACTCTGTATCTGGCAAAGCAGTCCATGTTTGGCACTTCTTTCTAAAAATTTGTTTTCCAAAACGATTTGCCGGATTTGGACTCTTTGGTGATTTATCGGTCTTGCATTGCACTTTGCGAGATTAGATTCAGAACCGTGACACATTGAGTCCGAACTGTAGTGAGCCCCAATGAACAAAACGGGATTCCTTCCCGAGACGTTGGGGGATGTCTACAGTTTCTGGCGACTCTGCTGGGGAGTTAGAGAACTTGACTCGAACTCATGATATCTTGTTTTGATTACACTTCTGTGTCTCTTTGCATTGCATTTGCATTAGTGCACCTAAGTCACAGTGTTTTTCATCTACTATTCCTGAACGGTTTGTCGGAGGCTCGCTTTGAGAAGCGTGCCATAAGGCTGACCGGTTACGGGCTCTGCCACGATGGGAACACAAACCCCGGTTGTTACTGAGGCACCCTTTTTGACCATTCGACCTTGTGCATATCGAAAACCGTAGTGACCGTTGCAAACTAGGACAGGTTGCTTACCCGATTGTAGGTTGTTTGAAATCGCTGCGTGCGTAGTGAAACCCTAGGTCTTGACAAAATAGGACAGGGAAACCCTACCCCAACATAGGGGTGTTTTTGCTCTCACTTGTTTGTTATGTGCTTTAGAGTTGACCTCTACAGGGGAATACACATATCAGTTTGCAAGTCTGGGCATCAAGCTTGCAGGCATCAGCGTTTTGAGAATCAGTTAAATCTGCAGGTATTAGATTCAAATTTGGGCCAGTAATTTTGGGAACAATAATCAGTAGTAGAGTACAGTTATTCAGCTATGTCCATGTCTGTATCGATTGGGCTGAGATGCTACCTGTTTTCTCTTTCAGTTCAGAGACTCAGTTCAGAGCAACCAGTACTCTCCTTTGGCTGAGGCAAGACAGGGAAAGGGCTCACCGGTTCGTCAGATCCGTCAGTCACCGGTTACATTATCTCCGTTCAGTTCAGCGGACTTATGATGTCACAAAATTCAGAGGAAATTGTGGTTATGGCAGTCGTATTGGACCAAGGAATCATCTTGCAGGATGAGACCAATGTTGAAGTGCCACATCCGCCTAGTTCGCCTATCGCGCACCCGATCTGGACACCCCAGTTGTTTCAAACTCGTGAGCCCACCACGTTTGAGTTGATGGGAATGATTGGCGACCTCCAGAGGTCTGTGGCTGATCTTGCCTATAGAATGTCAACTTCGCCACCAACCACATCATATGCTGGGAACTTCATGCCGCAGGAGCCCCCGCTACTGGGGTGAATTGTAATTGAGCTTAGCCAACCTGAAGCTGTCTCAAGCTCTGGCAATGACATGTCGGCAACAACAAAGCACCACTCTGATCAGGCAACCCAAATCTTCCACCAAGCTGAGGCCAGTGGAAAGAACAAGATGAAGGTGGACACTGATCCCTATGGACAACTTCAGCAAGCTATTGAGGATCTAAAAGCCGAGGGGTTGAGTAAGCAACAAGTACTCGCGGTTTTGGCTAAGACTGTGGATGACATCTTCCCGACTCAGACCGAGAGTAGTTCAAGCCAGAGGGCAAATCAGGATAGGGACCGTCGCACCGGAACTGTTCCTGCTAATCCTAACGCTATGCCTCGAAAAGATCAAAGAGCCAAGGCAGCACCTGCCGATCCCTTTGCCAGTGCGCCCGGCAAAAGCCTGCAGACTTCGAAGTATTTGCCCTGAGGTCGCAGAGTCTTCCATGCCCTCTATATGCCTTTGTCTAAGGCACTTCAAATCCTGGCTGAAAAGGGGCATCTTAAACCCCTCGAGCCTCGGCCTTTCCCAAGTAACCTCCCTCTCTCACATGATGTTACTCAGTACTGCGCGTACCATCAACAGACCGGTCCCCACCGACAATTGCTTTCGCCTTCGCCACGAAGTGCAAGATTTGATTGACAATGAAGTCATCCTCCCGCCGAGCTCAGCAAAGTCTGTCAGTGCTGGATTGGTGGATTTCGAGGATAATGCAAGTATGTGATCAGGGGTTGGGCCACCTGCGGACGACGCTCGGTTCATTCCAGAGTGGCGTTTGGCACGCACTATTTTGAGCATTTGCGAAAGCTGGGTTTTTGTAATTTCTAGCTTGGGTGTTGAGTCAGTTCTTTGGTTTTGTTTTGAGTCTGTCTCATTGTCTTGAGTCAATCTTTTTGCTTAAGAGTCTATCTCAATGTTTCGAGTCAGTCTTTTCATATTGAGTCAGTAAGGCCTGTCTCATTGTATCGAGTCAGTCCTGTTGTATAGGAGTTGGGTGATTCCGGGGGTGTTACCTCAGACATCACTATCTTGTTTTGTGTTTGTCTTTTACACTCTTTTGCGTATGTTTCTGCCGTGGAGCCAGTTACACCAAAAGATCTGAATGAAGCAGCAGTGGTTTTCGTACTTTGTGCTTATTTCTACTTTGAGCCTGTTGTGCCAGCAAGTTTAGATTGAAATGGCAGTAAATTTCACCCACTCTTCTGCACCTTTAAATCATTGCATTGACCTAAGTTTTTCAAAACCCTTTTTTTTTTTAACATTGTGATGAAAACAAAGAGGAAGAAATTCCACGGGTTTTGCAAAAATTTGATCAATTGAGAGAAAGAGAGGCGTGCTAAGCCCTTAATGAATGAGATCATGCTTGTTAGTATGAGTACTGAGAAGGATCCTGGCTTGATCCAAATTGGTTCTGCATTGTCTTCAGTGCGAGCGATTTGTCGCTTTCTTACAAGATTTCAAAAAATGTTTTGCGCAGTCCTGCGAAGACCTGTGTAGAATCACTCTTGAGATTGTGCAACCTAGGATCGCTCTCAGCCTCGAGATTCAACCCCTTTGCTCTCAAAACCTTAAACTTGAGTTCAGAATGTTCAACGGTCAACCACAATGTGAGGCCTGTGTGGCCAGATTTGAAGCAGCCGATGAACTAGGGGCAAGAAGGTCAAACGTCGTCAAAAGAAGCATGCAAAGCTAGATCAAAAGCACCCCTCAAACTAGGGGCAAAAAAAATATCAGACGTGCTTGAAGAGCCGAAGATGGATCATTCGGCAAACCAGGGAAGACTGGCAAGAATGCCAAATCCCAGAAGGGGGAAAGTATTGCTGAAGGACAACCAAATTCCTATCCACAACACTAGGGGCAAATTCAGCCCCCATTAGATGGACTCCTACATCATCAGTGAACATCAGCCATTCACCTGGATTCAGATGACTTCAGGATCTCAAAACCATTTGACATGGACAAAGCTACACTTTTACCCTTGAGAGGCTCGCTGGGCCGAAAACTCAGAAGGGCGACCCAGGCAAAAGTTAGAGCAAGAAAAAAAGAAAAGAAAAAAGAAAAAAATACAAAGAATGAAAAAAAAATGAAAAGAAAGAGAAAAAGAATGAAAAGAATGAAAATAAAAGAAAAAACAAAGCTCGCAAGGTTGAAAACACAGAAGGGCGGCCTTGGCAAAAGTTAGAGCGTAATAGGAGAGGTTAATACCTGAGTGTACCTTAACCCGAACTACGTAAGGCTTGATTCCCATGTTTGGGATACGTAGGCAACTTCATTCTGAAGTCTAGCCACAAACACCTCTAAATTGATTATATCCATGTGATGGCTCTGGTCATCTTTGTCTTCGCTGTATCTGGGAAGTCGGTTGTGATCGTCACTTTGAAGAACTGGTTACAGTGCGCTGAGGTACTATTCAAACAAGGGGCAACTTTTCGTTGCCACATAACGCGCTGTGGTGCTATTCAAACAAGGGGCAACTTTTCGTTGCCATGAGGTGTCATTTACATAAGGGGCAATTTTCAATTGTTATGGATCTGAGGTTGTGCGTCTCAAGGGTAGGTTCCATGCTCGTTGAGCAGTAACCGTTTGCAAAAACAATTTTTGAGAATTTTTACTGAGGTTGACTAACTCTCTCAAAAATTATTCCATTTTTCCAAAACTGGACCTTTTCTTGGACCCAAAAAAAGGAAAATTTTCAGTGCTCATAACCTGGCTTACATGATTTCAAATCAAAAAATCAAACAAGCATTTTAATCCAACTCTCATATTGATTAAAATTGTTTTAGTAGAAAGCAAAAAACAGAAATGGTCAAAATGATGAACTAGGGGCACAGTTGAGTCAGGCTTCCTGTCTTTCCCTCGTTGCCAATGCATTTGCTAGAAAGGGCACCGTATCTGCCCGAACAAGGCACAACTGGAGTCAACAAACAAAGGGCTGAAAGCTTTCTCACCCTCCGAGCAGTGAGGTATCAAACCAAAAGCGAAGCACGAACGGGAATAAATCAAGATATTCCATCCCCTCATCAAGAGCATCGACTAGATGTCACCAGAGGAAATAGCCGCGAGCTAATAATGTTGGGCATGAATCCACAATTTCCTATTTATCCATCAACCATCCAGGGAAGGGATGAAAAATGAGAGATTGAACAATGAAGAGATGTGTGATGAGAGAAAAGTGAGAAAAGGGCTTTTTCAGAAAAATCGAGCTTGAGGGCCGAGTGATGTGAGAATCACAAATAAGAAAGGGTGGGAAACAATACCCAGAAAAATAGGCTCCCTGTGCACGTCTGAGTGTCGAGTCTTTTGTTTTGTTTGTCTCGATTCTCGTCTTGAGTCGTTTCGAGTGTCTGTGTTTGTTGTTAGGTTATTTACCTTTCGTTTTTCTTTGTTGAGTCGTAGTGCGCTGTGTTCTGTCATAGACTCAATACCTGCTCAAAAGCTCATTTCTCTCAATTTCAAAAATAAATCGTTTTGTGCTCAGAGTGTTGTGTCATTCTCTACATTTGTGCAAAACAGGATTTGTCTTTTCATAAAACCGCAGGGTTCAACCCAGGTAATATTGAGAGCAGTGAATATATGTGTTTTTGGATTGCGAAACAAAGGAAAAAAGAAAATTTGGAGCATCTGAGTGTGTTTCAACTTCTGCCAATTCCATCTTTGTATCTCGTCTATTTAGGTTAAACTGTTTGTTCAGGATGAGCTATGTGCAGAATGAACCAAGTGCTGTGTTACGGGCTATATGTTCAGAATGAGCAGTGCCTTGTATGAGCTGTGTGCAGAATGAACCAAGTGCTATGTTATGGGCTGTATGTTCAGAATGAGCAGTGCCTTGTATGAGCTGTGTGTAGAATGAACCAAGTGCTGTGTTATGGGCTGTATGTTAAGAATGAGCAGTGCGTTGTATGAGCTGTGTGCAAAATAAACCAAGTGCTGTGTTATGGGCTGTATGTTCAGAATGGGCAGAATGTTGTATGAGTTCTTTTGTCGTTAGTTGGTTCACTATCTGGTTATTACGATACAGGTGTTTAATTTTCAGACGAAAGTTCAATCTCATTTACATTGTTGTGTAATGTGATGCGATGCAATGCGATGCATGAAATGTGCAAATACAACACCTTTTCAACAAAAAAAAAGGCTTGTTTCATTCCATCATCTTTTCAAGTACAAAGTTTTGAAGAAAATAAAACCTGTCTGCTGCAGTACAAGGTACTCAAGTTACCAGCAAAAAGAAAGGTAAAACAAAAGGGAAAAGCAACAAAGTGTTTGAACAAAGCAAATTAGAAGAAAAACAGCAAAGGCCTAGATCAACGTCAACTGGTCTCAGGCATGAGAGTCTGTCCTCGTCCTCTTCCTGGACGAAGGTCCAGGACCATCGTCGTCGACTCCGCCATCTGAGCCAGAGCCCGAGTCATCTCCAGTCTCGTCCTCAGACGACTCTGCATCCGCCTCTGCCTCGGACTTATCATCGTCTGGAATCGGTGCCCGTGAGCTGCTCCCAACATGAATGCGCCCCGCTTTGGTACGGGGGTGAACTGTGGTCCCTCGACCTGCTCTCCCTCCTCCTCGAGCAGATACGGATGGTCCTGCTGGAGCACCTCCTGCAGCCGATATCAGGAATGGGGCCTGAAAAGGACAAATGGTAAATGCATCAGTTATGCTACAGAATGCAGTATATGAGTACAATGTATGAATGCTATGAGCAGTGTATCAGAACAAAATACAGTGTATGAGTACAGTGTATGAATGCTATGAGCAATGTATCAGAACAGAATGCAATGTATGAGTACAGCGTGTGAATGCCGTGAGCAGTGTATTAGAACAGAATGCAGTGTATAGGTACAGTGTATGGATAAAGTGAGTAGTGTGTTGGTACAGAATGCAGTGACTGAGTGTAGTGTATGAATGTCGTGAGCAATGCTGTGAATAATTCGTGGGGTTACAGTGTATCAGAGCCCTGAGGGCTGCGTATCAAGTGCTGTGTTGATAGTGCGATACATCAGATTGTGTAAGATTTGAGATTATGGTTGAAAGAGCTTACCGGGATACTATAAATGGCCAGCAGGTCGAGGCTCCGCTGAAGCATCCCCATCACGGAAGCAGTCAACTCCAAAGACTGGCGAGTGTACTCAGCGAAAGTCTGCAAGAGTGTTAGAAACATCAGTATTCTGGGAAACATCAGTATTCTGCGGAACATCAAGAAAAATGAAATGAAATAACTGTACAGGATGCAAAGTGCAGTAGTACGTACCGGGGGCAAGCCGTAGAATCTGACCAACTCGTGATCAGGCAGAGGGGGAGCGATGGGGATCTGGTAAGTCTCCCCACCCTGCCCTTGGCATGTCATTATGGTAGGCAGTGTAGGCCACTCGGCTCTCTGCCCACTCCGAGATTCGCTCCTGCCATGAGCCCCAGCCATTCTCGGTGCTCCTACTCCTGCTCCTACTACTACTCCAGCCACTGGCGCCGCAGGCCTCTCCCTCTCAGCTCGGCGAGCACTACTCAGAGGTGGCATCAGGTAGGCCTGGATAAACTCGGTGTAGTCACCCTCGCCCCTAAAGCGCTCCGCATCCCAGCCAATCGTGTAGTCCCTCATATCCTCGAGGGTGTACATCCCTGTATGCCTCATGTGGGTATGAGGCAACTCCGTAACTATCTGCTCAGGTAAGCCCAAAGTCTGGCGTAGGAAACACTCGCCCAGGTACCAAGCCCAACAGACTGGGCCCTCTAGTTGAACCCTGAATCGGGCAGTCTCCTGAGCGCCCGTATATCGATCCCTCACTGCGGCTGGTAATGGAGCCCAAGGCTGCCAGGTGATCTGTAAATGTTATGCAGTTTGTTATCTACTATTATTGAAAGAGTAATGTAAAGCAAAGGTTAAGTGAACATCGAATTCTAAAATACCTCTGCGGCGGTGATGGTGTCAAAGTATCGGTGGAAGAATATGAAAGACTCTCGTGGTCTCCGCACGCATCTCACGTCAAAGAGGTGGGAGAATGGCACGCCAAGAGGGACCTCATCATCTGGCACTAGGGCAAGCCACGAGAAGTAGGCATATACCCACAACTATGAAGTGTAACAGAGCAAACATCAGTATGCCTATCAGATAAAGTAGGATGCAGAATAAAGTAGAAATCACAGAACCATGTATCGTGCAGAGTATTGTGCAGAGTGTACAATGTATGCAGTATACAGTCAGTGTAAAGTAGATTGCAGACGGCATGTGTGCAGTATATAGTGTACTGATAATGTGAAATAGAAATGTAAAATAGCAAAAGAAGATGTACCTCCCAAGCTCGCCAGTAGCCTCCGAGCAACTGTCCGCTGTAACGAGAGGATGAGCTCATGTATCCATAGAGAGTGGCCAGGCTAGCGCCACCCCAGTCATAGCCATAGATCCTGATCACGTCAACCAGTTGTAGACACCTCATATTTGACCGTCCTCAAGACTTGGACGTCACCGTTTGAACACTCGATGATCATTCTTATTTGTGTTCGTCTTGAGTTCCTGGAGGTCTCGGCTACTGTAACAAGCCCGCGGGGGACCTCGCTACAGCTCGGACTCGACTTTTGCAGTCACGGTTCTAAATCTGAACCAAAGAGTCCAAATCCGGCAAATCGTTTTAGGAAAACTGATTTTTGAAAGAAGTGCCAAACATGGACTGCTTTGCCAGATACAGAGTCGCCACCTAAATATTTTATTTTGGGAAATTTAGGAAACCCTGACTCGGTGCCAAAAAGGCCACGTGTCCGTCATCACCAAAGTTGCATCGGCTCGGGAACTTGGGTACGATTAGGGAAGGTCACTTCGTGAGCACCCCCGCTCGCCCGATCAAAGATCGGCCCCTACTAACCATGATATCAAGTTTTGAAAACATTATGTGTTCTTATTCCGATTTTTGATTTGTCCTTGAACTGAATCTCTGACCTGACAAAGTCTATCAACACAAGTCCAATGTGCCCGGGGGATGTTGGAGCCTTCTGAAGCTATGGTTCCAGAACTACCTAGCAAAAGGGAAAACATGCGGCATCTCCGCCCAATTTCACTGGAACTGATATGAGCAAAGCTAAATAACTGTATTCGACCACTGATCACCGTTCCCCAAATTACTGCCCCAAAACTGAATCCGATACTCGCAGATATAACTGATTCTCAAAATACTGATGCCTGCAGGCCTGATACTGACAATACTGAATTGATGCCCGCAGGCCTGTTGCCCAAACTCATATACTGATACATGCATTCCTGTAGAGACGCACTCTAAAGCACATAACAGATAAGTGAGAGCCAAAACACCCCTATGGA